CTGGGTAATGCTGGGGTTAGACCCTCTGTACTTATAACACAAACAGTTTTGCAGCTTTTAGATAAGGTATTTGCTTTTGCTAAGTCAGTTTCCCTTTTGGTAGTCAAATTAGGTGAATTGTTCCAGGTGAAATGATCCACAGACCAATCAAAAGTACAGGTGTAATATTGGATACTGCACTTTCCCTTACCTTTCGTGGTACAAAATAAAATGAGATTTGTGTTTCTTTTGCTCTAGTTTTCCTCTGCGACAGGTGAAACACTGTAGGAGAGAAAATTGCCTGGCTGTTACACCCCTGTCTTATGAGGACCATATTAATAAATTCAGTGAATAAACTCAATTGTAAAAGATGAAAAGGTCAATTAACATGAGTTAAATTGCATAATGGAGACATTGAACTAAAGCAAAAAGAAAACTACACCTAACAAACCCAGATGAACAATGTTTTTCTCATAATTTCTCTTTAACATAATAACATTATTCACGCACACACATAAACCCATATACATAAGGGGTAAATAAGAACCTACTTTGAAAAAAAAAGTATTAGTCTATCAAGATAAGGAGCTAAGGTGGCTCTAACATGCTCTGACATGTGGAGAATCCAATGGTGAGAAATGGGAAGATGACATGGAGGTAGCATAAATAGGAGTGCAAGTTCCCTCAAGGAAGAGCCAGAAATGGACAAGATGATGACAGTGACTTTGGACCTATTTCAGAACTGGTTCCTGGTCTGTTTGCTTGCTCAATGTACTGCTAGGCAGTGGCCTGGGCAGCAGCTTCAAAAACCTTCATGTCTGTCTATAATCTGACAGGCACATCTCTTGTCAGCCTTAGCCACAAAATGAAAAGACTAGTTCCCATACAAGTTTTATTTAGCATGCTTGTTTTTTAGTTTAAATTTGAACTATTGTTGGTTTGAGCGCTTGTAAACTGCCTAGAGTCTATGACACTGGGGCAATAGAAAAAAAAATCAAAAATAAATTTAAAATTTAGAAGGATCACCTAAACAGGGAATCAAAATATCCTGTAACATTTGCCCAGGAACCATAGGATTTCTCCCTCCACTCCTTAGTGGTGGTGGTGGTGGTGAAGGGCCAGCTTGAAGAACCCTAAGCAGAGATCCCTTAGCTACTGCAATATAAGCATTGCTGGGAATAAGAAACCCCGTAAGTAGGATTGCCTACTGATGAAACAATTTCCCCGTAGGTGGTAGAAGCATTGGGAGTAAATATGTGTCAGAGCTAAGAGACAAAATTTTAATGGGGTGGGGGAATTTTTTTAAACAATTCACATTTTTTAAGGTAAGATAAATCTGGCGACCTTCTGTTGGCAAATTCTCCTCTCAGAAATACAAGTTTGCGAACTACCAGACTTTAGCTGCAATAGGTAAATGAAACCTCCATGATTAGCAGCAGTGTTCCCTTGTATACAAACTTCAGGGTATAAAGAAGATGAAGCCCACCACCTTCATACTCTCAGTGACTCTCAGGCCCATTTGGCAGCCACAGCTGAAAGCAGAATGTCAATCCAAAGGAACTTTGGTCTGATGGCAGAGTCTGGTAGGTCCTGATGTTATCCCTCCATAAAAAAGATGCATTCACTCACACCTATATTGTTAAATTAGCTTACCCCACTTGGACAGTGGTACAACAAAGCAGCAGTGGGCTCTGTGGACCTCTCTGGCATAATCACATTCACCAAGGTGTGTGTGTGCTTGTGTGTCCACTGACTCTGCACAGCTGATGTGGAATCCAAAGCACGGCAAGAGCCTTTAGTGCAGTCACAGTAGACCTGTGAGGTGCTCCAGTACCAATAGTACTATCTCTATGATGTGCTGAAGCAGAGAGAGTTATATCGCACCCTCGGATAAGTTCCCCTTTTAACTTTAGAGATCTGTCCCATTTTGTCTGCTAAGCACAACACACTGTCAAACCTTTTAAAATACAGACTCATACAGAAGGCTGGGGATTCCAGGGACCAAAAGCTGCTCCTGGGACTGCTCTTTTGGATGCCTTTGTGATTTATTCTCTTTCTTTGTAGTTTCTGGATACATTCATTGTCATCTTTGGTGAATTTTAGAGATGTTGCTGAAATTGTGGATGTACAGCTGTGCACTTTCTAGATCGTCATGAGATATGCATGTAACTTGTAGCCAAGAAAATACTAGTGCTAACAGTGTGGGATAGTGGTTCGAATCCTGGACTGAGATTCGTTTTCTAGTCCTGGTTCACCATGAAACTAATCAGATGCCATTGGACCAGTCAGAGACTGTCAGTCTAGTCTGCTGTAAGGATGTTGTATGGAAGATATGGAGAGAAGAACTAGTAGGTAGCCACCTTGGGTTTTCTGTAAGCAGAAAAAAGGTGGGGTATAAATCAATGTGACAGCAGCCACAATGGTGCTTCCATGAGTGACCTAAAGCGCAGTACCCATAGTGTTCGCTGGCATGATGGCTTTCCCTGGAAAACCCACCACACTGACACTACTGGCTTTGCACTAGAGGTTTCTCACACAAGTGCAATGCAATTCACTTTAGCAATAATCTTGACTTGGATACTGCCCACTGTGTCATAGAGGAATAATTGATGCTTGCAGTCTCTGTGTGTGCAAACTTTAAGGGCAGTTCTTTTCTTGGAACTGAGTCAAGGGAGGTGAGTCACAGCTAGCATGGTTGAGTTGGCAGAGACAAGGAGCTCCTTAACTCAAGAAGAGATGGATCTTCACCCCAATTATACTAAAGTTAGCCGAAAGCCAGGCCTTGTCAGGGAGAACTTCCCAGGAGTTTAGGTGTATGCTCTTTGAGGGAAGTTACATAGAAATTTAAGATAAGAGCATGAGACAACAGTTTGACAGCATGCCATAGACATAAAAGAGAAAGAGCTCCACTGGCCAGCAAATAACAGATTGAATAGTGCATTCTCCCCTCATCCAGATATGCTAGATTGTAGGCACACACCAGGACTTGATTGTATCCACTAGTTTTCCAGCATCTGCATTCAAGCTACCTCCTGTGTTTTTGACTTGCTGTCAGCTCCAGCATGTATTATGGAGCTGCACAAGCTCTCCAAGAAGGAGGATGCTCAAAGCAATCATGTCAACTGCCTGGGTCATTTCTGTGCTCCACAGCTTGACCAGGGCTTTGGCAGGAATCCCAGCCTTATAACACAGAACCTCCTCCACTGCACCTTCTGGGAACCTCCTGGATCTATCTGCCCCGGGTACAGACCATCTTAATAGCCCCCCATCCCACCCTTGTAGAGATAGGGATGACCTCTGCCTTGGAGACGCTGGAAGGATGCTTCTAGGCAGAGCAGATGTACTAGAATGGTATCACCTGGTACCTGTGTTCCCTCTATTATTTGCCCATTCTGTGTATCTTTCTCCTAATATGTGTGATAATATGTAATATTTCAGATGCGTGAATGAGAGAAGAAATACTTCAGTGTACACCAAACTACATTAAAAGTACTTTCCATCTTGGACCTGCCTATCATAAATATGTCTACAGCATATACCCTGCCTTGAACTCTATGGTCTATTAAGAACAATTTCCCAATTGTTCAGTCTGTGTATCAACTATATATAGTGGGGTCATGCAAGGTCATGTTTTTGTGTTATATCCCCAATTTTAGTAAACTGTGCCAATGCACCTTTGCTCAAGAACAAACTGGATTGCTGGTTCAAACTTGAATATACCTTACTTGATTTCACATAATGCAATTTTTAATATGAGGACTAATAGCTGAAGGTGTGAACTGACGCAACTGAAATACCTTTTGCTTAAGTTGCTGATCTGTTAATGATTATCTGATGTGCTTTTCATGCCCCAAAGAACTGGATATGCAGTGATTCGTTAGCATGTTCATCAGCACTTTTTAGCAATATACGTATGTAAGCACCATTTTGATTTTTAAAAAATCTTAACGCAAGTTAAATTTTCAGGAATTGAAATTGAAGTCCTAATTCTTAAATTCCCCCACCTCCTAAGATTTTGGTTATGGGGAATGTGGGAAGAATCATCTTTAACTCACCTTAAAAATATTTCCTCCTCACAAAATGGAGCATATTGTATTAACAGCAAAAAGATTCCTCTAGAGCACACCTAAAAAGGACATGAGGTTGTCAAAGGGATCAAACTGTCTAAAGAATATGAAGAGAAGACATCATGGAGTGAAACTAATTGTATACATTAATTATCATAACTGTAATATATGGCTCTGATGGGTTAGCATAAACCAGGAAATCAAACACTGAATCAATATCATTATATATATTCATTAGAAAATGTGACATAGGAACATGTTGCTGTGACTACAAATTACTTAACTAAGGAAACTTTATGAGCACTTTGGGACATTCTGTGTTGTTTTCAACATAAAGCTGCTTCTCTGGATGTGTTGGCCATATTGACTGGGAACAAAGGTTGCTGTAGGCCAACACATATGACAGTAAATAAAACAAGATTTCTTATCATTACTGTTATTATTTCTAGGGCAAATTAGGGTCACACCAAATGCCCTATCCATACAGTTATTTCTCATGAGCACATCTGGGATCAGCAACAACAGAGAGATAAAATGGATAGTGAAAAAGGGTTTGCTAGGAGTTTGCAAAATCATGCTTTGAAACTGACCAAAAACATTTAGCCTAGAAGACTCATTTGCTTAAGATTCATTATAACACTCATTAGCTGTGTGCTATAATAAACTTTGGTAATAATGGGCAATGCAAAAGAGTTTTTCACCTTAAACATTTCTTGGATGGCTAATACCATTTTCAGTGAACATATACATAGACAGATCTTTCAAGATTTATAAATTTTGCTAAAATTAATAGATCTGCACTGGGCATGATAGAAGGCAGCTCTGTTGCAACTGCAGATAATCTGTGGACTTTGTGCACAGCAGCTAACCCAGGGTGAGGGGAAGAAAGCAGCATTGTTCCAGTGCTCTGTTTTTCACAGGCCCGTATTCATAGCTCATCCTTGTTGTTTGCAGGAGAGGCAGATGTGAACCAGAACAATGGGACCTCCACCAAGAGCACAGCGGTGACAGACTCCAAGGGCGCAGCAGACCCAAAGAATGCCTGGAAGGAGGCCAGCCCAGCTGACACGACTGGTCGCCCCCATTTGGTCCGCCTCTTTTCCCGAGATGCCCCAGGGAGAGAAGACAACACCTTCAAAGACCGGCCCTCTGAATCAGATGAGCTGCAGACCATTCAGGAAGACAGTGCAGCAGCTCCTGAGAATTCGGATTTGATGGCTTCACAGAAACGCTCCTCTTTCCGGCACGGATCCAAACTTGCAACTGCAAGTACTATAGACCATGCTAGACATGGATCCCCAAGAAGATACAGAGAACCGGGTCTACTTGACTCACTGGGCAGATTCTTTGGAGGTGACAAACATGTGCCCAGGAGGGGCAAGGTGAGCTCAGAGGAAAGGAGAACAGAATAGCTGCAATAAAGTCAAGTTTTGCAAAAGGAAGGGTGGGGGGAAGAAAAAATCAAGAGAACCGAATATCCTCCAAGTGCAAGAGTTGACTTAGCATTCAGGATGATGTTAATCAGTTTTCAATATGGTATTTGGCTGTTATAACCATTTAAAATGTGTGCTAGAAAATGTAATTACAAAAAAAGGAAAGGAAGACTCTTTCAGTGACCCAATGTTCTTCCAACTGGATGCTGAACTGTGGCTGAGATACGGCTTCATTGGGGAAGTTTGTTGTGTATATGGTGGGGGAAGTGTTGATCCTTTTTTTTTTTTTTTTGGAAATACCCCCCACATACACACACACACCCTAGATTACTGACATTATCCTTGCAGTGTTTCTGAAAAGCTGAATGTAGGGGAGTCATGGAAAACCAATTGTTTACAGCAACTCTGTGATAGCCTTGTGGACCCTGACTTTACTGTAATGTCTATAGTTTTAGATTTCTTTTTGGCTGTTGTTGTGAGACTAATGTAAAACATTCCAAAACCTGGGATGGTTTTGTTTCTTTTTTTCTGCAAGAGAAATGAAACAAAGGGAAAGTGGGAGTTGTGACAGGATTGTACCTCATAATACTAAGGGATACTTTTTGACTGATAACATGTTGGAAGTTTAATATAAGAAACTGCTTTGCAGCATTTTGGGGGAATGACAATAATAAAGTTAGTCCCAATATAGCTAAAGAAGCAAGAATATGTATGCTTATTGTTTGGTATATCATCACAAGGTTTTCTAACCAATTTTGCTGTTGGCTGTTTTATATTTTCATATGTACCTTATTGATCTGGCAAATACTTTTAAAGTATTAGACATTTTGCTATAGGGAAAGGGATATAGGTCAATGGTACTGCCATGTGATTTGCCTGGAAAAGATCCCAGGTTGTCAGGTTCGGTCCCTAGAATCTCCAGTTGCAGCTAGCAAATACCTCTCATTGAAACACTGCACAAGCAGTGCCAGTTTATTATAGACCAATAGTCTGTCTTCCTGCAAGGCAGTTTTCTATGTTGCTACAAGAACCGAAATTTTATCAAGTGCCAATGCACTTCATTTCTTTCCCCTTCCTTTAGGGAAGCTCATGATTTGAAATGAGGTGATGCAGCCCTTCATTTTTGCTCTCTGCCTTGAGTAAGTGTGTTCTTTCACAAGCTGAAGCACAAACTCGCTAACTATAGGCTTGTACGAGTAGTCCTTAGATAAAATTCAATTTTTCTCCTCTTTTTTTCCAGAATTTTTGAACAAAACTTTAAGACATTCCAGTGTAGCCATACTTTTGACTATTTTAGCTGTGATCAGAGAAGATGAGGCATGCCACACAAGTTCCCGGTTGTTCTCAGTTGGTAGATAGAGTTGATATTAACCAACTGTTAATATCATGGGCTCGTACTAACTGGAAGTTGAGAGTATGCTATTCTCTTTTTTTTAGTATGCTGCAGATTTCTTTACTTTCTAGTGCTGGGCAAGTTGCTTAACATCTAATTGGCAGTATTTGAAAAAAAAAAAATCACCCGGTGTCTGCAAGAATGATTGGCTGCATTTCTGAGCAATTCTAAAATGGCATGTTTCATACACCATGGTGCATGCTGGCTGACTAACTCAACTCTGGCTTAAATTTAGGTGGGGAGATTGTGAGTCAGAAAACTGACACCTCTAAAAAGCACACTTTTTCTTGTAGATAAGATTTCTTGTAACGGGATAGATCTGCACCTATGATAAACACTCGTGTCCTGTTCTTAAATTCCTACTGTGTTCACACAACAGGATGAGCCATGATGGTTGAAGCAGTTGCTTGTCATGTAGTCTGAACCCAGCCAGAGTGGTTCCCAAACTATTCAGGCAACCCAACAAGTGTGTATGCCACCATGGGTTATTGGGTTGTGTAAACCCTGTGATAGTGATTCAAAAGCATGCATTTCAAGCATTTGGTAGTAGTGAATTAATTCTGGATCAGTTTTTTCCTATCTCTGTAGTTAGCAAGCTTTGTAAAATCTGTTTACCTTTGGAGGTGGATTTGTATATAGGCAGTCCTATGTGAAATATTGTTTTGTACTGTTGATTCACCACACTGTTCTGTCAAATCGTTGGTATATTTAAATCTACATAACCTATAACCCAGTGCCTAAAGAACAAAAATAAAGGTTGTGAATAATTCTGAATATGATGTAGCTAAAACTGAATCTCTGCTTTTTGAAACTTGGGCAAAGTCAGAGACTTCTAGCTGTGCCACTGTTCAACAATACTACACTCAGAAATAATAATGGTGATAAGATGAAATGAATCCTAGGAATTGATTCCAGGAGATGTTCAATGCTGGAAGTTAATTCAGCAAGTGCCACAAACATTTATTAATACTAGGTGTGCATGTGTGTATTTCCAGGAAAACAAAGTTATTGGTATCTTTTATTATTCTGAAATAGTGTAGAAAGACTGTTGTTCATTTATTGATATGTCAAGATAGTTGGAATTATAGCTATAAAAGCTTTTTTCAAATGTGTTGAAAAACAAAATACTAGTAGTGAATTATTGTGTGTTGTATTAAAACAAACAAACAATAGCGCGCTTTTAAAGCATCCAGGAAAATAACCAGGAAAAATGAGAACGAAATCCTTTCATTTAGAAAAGACACTTCGTTGTCTGCTCAAAGAACCTTGTAAGCTGCTTTGGGTTCTTTGCGAGAGGAGGAAAGGCAGGATATACGTACATCTAACTATGATATTATTTTGCGGGGGGCTGCAATCAATTGAGCCATGCTGCTGACAATCCTGCTGTTGTCTGAACAGGACTTGCATTCAGCTGGAATCAGCACTGCAGAGTTTCTGTCCCAGTCATGTGGCGATTCATACGTCTGAGTCCATGGAGTGAGTCATATCACTGAATCACACTGTATGCCTCCTTTTGCACACAGCTTCTTGCTAAAATGTAGGAAATAGTTGCTGGGGTCAAGTGGAAATGATTCCAGGAGCTCGAATGATTTACCTAGCAGGAGCTGGCCTGATGATCAGGGCAGGATTCTGAACTTCTTCCTCAACTACTGCAGAGCTAGTTCATATATCTGATCTTCCCACACCAGTGAGCACTGGAATGCGGCAAACATAAATGTCCTTTTGTCCAAAGTAAGTGCTGACATTCAGTCAGGAGAATTATAAATTCCGTGTGGAGGCATATTCTTTTCTTATTAATATCCATGGGTGAAAAATACATGTGTGTATAACATTCTTCTTTGTTTCAGGAGAGGAGGATGAAGGAAAGCCAGAAGAATGGGGCTTTTGTTTTTCCTTCCTCCTCCTCCTCTCAAGGGGAGGTCCTTGGTTGTCCTGGTATTTGGAACACATGAAAAAGGTGGGAGAGATATAAAATGCAGCAATATATTGTCCATTCTCAGTGGCACATATATCTCTATAATTAAGAGCAATATAATCTGATTTTATGCATACACCAATATAGAAAAACACACAAATATTAAATAAGCTTTACCATCTCAGAGCTGTATGAAATTTAGAAATAGCTAATTGGCTCAATTTCAGTCAAAGACTTAACTTGACACCTTGTTTGGTAGAAACCAAGCAACTACAGTCCTGTGGCATAGAAAGTTGGTACAGACTTTGGTTTTGGTTTTTGTGGAACACTAAATAGGTTTTAGACAAGTATGCACTTCCCAAGAGACACTCCCAACATGGGTAGACTGGGAGAGTGCTGGTTATCCAATTTGGCTATGAACAAGTGACTTCTGCTCTCTGTTTTCAAGGGGGATTTATTGGTGGCTGCCTCAGATTAAATAATTCTCTAAGGACGTATCATGCAACCTGGATCTATGGTGATACAACATGTACATTTTGTTAAATGCCTATTCCAGAGAAGCAGTTGGAAGATATGCCTAGATCAATCTTCAGGTGTTTTTGATCACAACTTCTATCATCCTTCCCTATTAACTCTGATGGCTGGGGTGGATGATCATTGTAGGTCAACACATCTGTATAAGCAACAGGGTTGCCTATCCTTGGCCTGGATAATAACCCACTGCTTTGTTCTGCTTCATTATTCAACTTGAGGTTGTTTTATTCTTGTTGGAGGGTGGGGAGAAGAACTGTATTAAGTTTTCAAGTTATAATGTCTAGTTATTTCTATACACCAGCATGATGTTCTAGTAGGACATTGAAGTTTAGTAACGCCTATTTGGAGCCATCCCAAGACAATTCAGAGCCTAAGGTGAAGCGAACCAAGCACATCATGAGCGAAGTGTGTTCTTGAGTGCTCATATTTTTATTAGCTATTGTTGTGCCTCCACCAAAGGATATTTATTTGAATATCCTCTTTCACAATTTACTTCCTGTGCCTTTCCTCAAAATAAGGCTTTGTTCAAACTCCAGATCCTTCTGCTTTTTCCCGTTCCTTGCAAGAAAGTAAAGGGGAAGGGAGCGTACCAGCATATTCTTATGCATGGCCACTCAAAACTAACATTCCATTGAGTTCAGTGGACCTTATTCCCAGGTAAGTGTATAGACTTGTAGTCTGTGCTATAATCCTATACACAAATAAACATGCACTAGATTGGCTTTAGAGTTTATAACAAGAATATGAAACAATCCCAAAAGTATCTCTGGATTATTACATGATTTTGAAACCTCCAGATGGGTCTACAGCTGAACTGATGGATGCATGCAAATTATGGAGAGATAATTACCAACCAAAATTACCAGATAACATAAAATAGGAGTAAAAATACCAAAGCTAGGAAAATCCATAAAAAAGGGAAGGAATGGAATGGACCAGAATGGAAAGGGGAAGCTGGGGGTAGAAACCTGGATCCAGGGATTATTTGATATTGTTCCGCAGTAGTTTTCTTGAAGGTGGAAGTGGCACTCATGCCCTCAAGACCCTTTACAAGCTTAGTCTGTAATCCTGGGTTCTTTCTCAGTGCAGGGGAAACCATGTACATCA